ACCATCTCCTAGTTCTTCTTTGCTGGGAATAACTATGCAAGATACAAAATTTCCGTATTTTTGGTAAGTAAGAGCTTTCGATTTCGATTACTTTATCGGACCATTGTTGAATTGCTACTGGAAAATATGTCGCACAATTTTTGCTCTATGCTCTCCGCTTTTACTATAAGTTTTGCGACGCTATCGTCACCGTTTACCGCGCCGCTATCCTCTTTCCTCGTCGCTACCCTCTTTCCTCGCCGCTTCACTATAATCTCAGCCTTATTAGTAATGAGATCTCTCGTCCATGATTCCGATGTATTTCTTGCGACTTCGCCATTTATTTAAAAATAACTCGACGAGCTACAGAGGCTAAATTACTATCCCGCCTTGGTAGGGTTGCCTAGTTGCCACTGACGGACAGACGGGCAGACAGACAGACACCAGGAAAATATTTTGTATTTAGGTCATTTATGACCCAAATAACTCATTTTGTGTGAAATTAAAAAAAAATTTTTTTTGCCGATCTTAATAGCCCATACCTGTTGGTATGGTCGGCTAAAAAATACATGAAAATATGGAAGAATTTTAGATTGTTATAATTTTGATTAACGTAATATTTTTGCTGGTGTAGTATGACAATTTCCAATAATTATTAGCACCGTATCCGAAAAAAATTTAGTTTTTTTGTTTAGAACAAACAAAAGACAATCCGGGACTCCGGGAGATAACTGTAGATAGTGAATTTTTGTTTTATAGACAAGCAAACACTAACTGCGTTACCTAACTTCAACTCTGTCTCTAATAATAAAGAATCCTTTTTTACAGACACTGCATATAGACGTCGGCGGCTAAATCAAAATTCTTCAGTAAGCAGGAAGGAACCAGATTAGGCTGCAAGCATTCAGTCACTATCAGATTTATTCTCGTGTATTATGTGTTTATTTAATTATTGAATAATTGCGGCTTGTTTGATGAATCAGTGGAAATGTTTGCTTTTAGGGGTAATTATATTTATGACTGGCGTGTACCAGCGACTTCGTTCGCGTCGAATTAATCATTTGTAATGGTGATGATAAAGCAAAGCAAGAATTTCCATTAACATACAAACTGGATAAAATTTTCTCACATTTATGTATGTCAGCATGAGAAAAAACAATATGACAATATTATTATATAACTTGGTAATATTTGAGGGGTAGTTTCATCTCGTTGGAATTTGACTTTCGAAAAATCCGTTTGCCAAAAATAAGCTTTTTACGTCAAGCAGTTTAAGCAGAATCGTGGTTAAGAAATTACCCAACTTTTTGGAACACCCTCTATGGTTTTTTAAAAAATTTCAAAATATGTAAAAAAACAAATAAATTATGCTTGTCCAAGCGTTTTCCCGAAGGACTAACCGTTTTTTAAATAACAAATATTGTAATATTTGAGCGGCGTTTTCACCCTCTTGGAATTTGAGATTCGAGAAACCCCTCCTTATCGAACCTCTGCACCCCACAGTCAATCCGTTTGCCAAAAATTTTACCAGCTTTAAACGTCAAGCAGTTTAAGCAGAATCGTGATAGTAATCAATTCATTAGTTATTGAGTACAATGGTCATATTTTAAGGAAATACCCTGTATAAATTTATAAAAAATCTTAAAATATATAAAACAACAAAATAAAATATACGTGTTTAAGAGTTTTTCCGAAAAACTCACCGGTTTTTAAATAAAAAATATTTTAATATTTGAGGGATGGTTTCACCCCCTTAGAATTCGAGTTTCGAAATATCCTTTCTTATCGAACCTCTACACCCTAAAGTCAATCTGTTTTCCAAAAATCAGCTTTTTACGTCAAGCTCTTTGAGCAGGATCGTGATTAATCAATGACCAGATTTTTCGAAACACCCTGTATACATTTTTAAAAAATCTTAAAATATGTAAAAAAACAAAATAAAATATGCGTATTTAAGCGTTTTTTCGGAAACTTGACCGTTTTTTAAATAAAAAATATTGTAATATTTGAAAGGTGGTTTCACCCTCTTGGAACTGGAATTTCGAAAAATCCCTTCTTATCGAATCTCTACACCCTAGAATCAACCTGTATGCCAAAATTGAGCTTCTTACGTTGAGTGGTTTGAGCAGGATCGTGGTTAATCAGTATGTCAGTCACTTAAGGATTTTATATATTAGTATAGATTCAGTTAAATCTAGAACATAGTTGTAGGTATGTGTTAATTTTACGTTATTTTTTGTATGAACAAAAAATAAAGAATAATTTAAAAAAACACATTTTTTGAATAAAACGTTTACACGAATTTCTCTATCAAAAAATTTCATAGATTTGGTTATCAAACCGTGTTCCCGTAGATTACTTAAATTACCTACAACTTTTCTAAAAAATATACCTACTATAAAATTAACACATTTTTTGAACACAACAAAATAATACTAACTAAACAAAACTAGAAAGCGTCATTTTACATGCAATTACATTACAAGCAAATAAAAATTAATACGTAGCCAAGAGTCATAATTCAAGATTTGTTTGGTGAGTGCCCAGCAGTAAGTGGGGGGGGGGGGGCACCCCTGTAGTTACGCCAATGGCGACAAACCGCGTTTGATCGAAAAGAATCGGCGTTTAGTAATGTATGTAGTACACCCAGTACTCTACCTAAATTAATTGAATTGTTTTTATCAATTCAATGAAAAAGTCATAAACAGAAAAAATAACTTTCTTAACGATTTCGTTTAATGTCACTATATCGTTTAACGTCCATTTTTATCATAAAAACATTATATTTCTACGTTTTTAGAGCAATGAACGATTAGGCACCCTTTGTTTTAAGACGTTTTATTCGAATATTCCACCCCATATCCTGGAGTGTTCATTTAATTAAATTGAAAATTTTGCCGTGTTAATATTAAACAGGATGGTCCAATCAAGAAAGAAAATTGTATCGGGCTTTTTAGTCACAGAAAAGCTCAAGATAGAAAACACCTTGCGTGGCCATCTTCTTTATGTGTGTCGAATACTCGTCAGCGAGTAACGGCTGTATGTATGTATGTATAGACTCTTCAAGGATAACATCAATTTGTACATTATTTGTACGCCAATGAAATGTTTTAATCAACAGTTTTATTTTTACAACAATTTCCAAATAATTTAATCCAAATTTAAATTTTAATTAAAACTTTTTTCTCGGTGAAATGTATATGTATAAATAAACATACAAAATGTACAAACATGCAGTTTTATGTTAATGTGACTAATCATAGTGACTAATCTTAGTCCAAATGCAAGAGGTTAAAAGAGTAATTTGAATTTAGCGGCAACTCTTTCCAACCTTCAAATAATTTGAAATATGGCGCAAAAATTCTATTGCGACGTAGCCGATGTGAATCTTTTTAGTTGTTGGGATCATTCAAACCATAGACAATTCAAACTCGACGCCATGATCTAATAGAAAAAAAGATAAATTGAATTAAAAAAGTTGTTGTCTGGATTAAAAAGATTTGTTAGGGTTTTTCTTTTATTATTATACATAGCGAACTGTATACCGGAAACTTCGGCAGCATATTCTGCAGATATGATAGATAGATAGATAGATAATGCTTTATTTATTTCCTTATTGTATAATACAAAAAGAAACCCAAAAAAAGGGCATGGAAACAATTCAATTATCAATTTTTCAGCATAAAAATAACTAAAAAAGTTCATATAAATGTATGTTCTGAAATGGTTAGTTTCAGAGATACAGGGTGTAGAAGTTTCATTTTTATTTCGATTTTTTCCAAATAATTTCTGAAGTAACGTCAATATTTGGATGAAAATTGGTGTCTAGGAGTGTTTTGACATGAGAAATTTGATTTTGATGTCAATATGACTCCTATTGGTAGAGGGTGCCACCTACATGAGCGTTAACTGTTTTGAAGCGTAATAACTTTTTGTCCGTACCTGTATAAAACTACTGAGGGAAAAAATATTCATCTCTGTGAATTTTTACGTAAAAAATATCTCTTTGTAAAAATCGATACGAGCAACAGTTCTCAAGATATTTAGAATGGAAATAGTCAATACATGTCATTATTGACGAAAAATAAACACGTTGAGTAGGTAGATAGTTATTTCACTGAAATAATAAATTTGGGAAATTTTTATTTTTTTAAATTAATTATCAATTTTTCTGCAAAAAAATGATTATAAAACAGTTTCTGTTGAACTTTTGGCACAAAAACTTTCAAATTTATAATGCCAGTCTAATAACTATTTAGTCAACATGTTTAATTTATGTCAATGATGACTGGTATTGATAATTTCGATTACATATATCTCGAAAACCAATACACGTAGCAATTTTTACCAAGATACGTTTTTTACGTAAAAAACGTCGTAAATGTATAGATATTTAAACTCAAATTTTTTTACTTAGTAGTTTTATACAGGTACGGACGAAAAGTTATCATTCTTCAAACCAGTTAAAAATATGTAAGTGGTGCCCCCTACTAGTAGGAGTCATATTGACAGCAAAATCAAATTTCCCTTGTCAAAAAACTCCCAGACACCAATTTTTATCCAAAATATTGACGTTACTGCAGAAATTATTTGGAAAAATTCGAAGTAAAAATGAAAATTCTACACCCTGTATCTCCGAAACTGAGCATTTTAGGACATATATATATACGAATTTTTTACTTACTTTTGTCTGCAGAATATACTGCCGAAGTTTCCGGAATACAATTCGGACCACCCTGTATATAATTTTAAAGAAGTTTTATTTCAAAAAATACAATTTAAAAACTTCTAATTCCTTATTCCAATCTGTTCCAATATTTTTATAATAAAGGCACGAGTGCTCTTAAAACTTTTCGAGCACTCTGTGTATTTTATATTAAAGCCCAGTTTTAAGTTACATTAGTCTTCTACATATGTAAGCAAAAGTTTTGTTCATTGTTTTTCAATCAATTAGTTTTTATTTCCAAAAAAATAAACATATTTTATAACTTAATTAAATCTTTATTGCTAATTTAAGCTAATTTGCTAAACGTGACAACACTGTATTCACTGATTAAAGTGATTAAATGTGTTTGTTTAGTCTATGGTGCGCTGATAAAACAATTAAAACAAAGAAAAGAAAAAGATGCACAGGTGCATAGCACGTGCGATAGTGGAAATCTGGTGTAAATAAGTAAATGCCTAAACTAATTTATTAGTTATTTGAGAGTGATTTACGTTCCCGTTTAAAATTTGATATGTACCTGGTTTTCTTTGATGTTCAGTGGTAAGTACCGACTAACAATATACGTTTGAATTAATATTATATTAATAATTTAGCTAGAATCATACAATTGTGTTGGTATCTGTTCATGGTATCTGTTGGTATGTACTTTTTGTTCAAAGCGTTATTACTCTAAAATGTTTATTTTTGGTAATGATTGGAAAAACGTCACATTTTTACAAATATTTGTAAACACCTTGTATACATCTTTATACACCCTATTTTCAGGTAGTAGTAGTAGAATCATCTGAACTTTTTTTGGTGGTCTTTTATATTTTTTCAGAAAAATGGAATGTAACAAAATGTCACTTTTCAAAATATCTCATATTTGTAACTGTATTTGTAATCAGGGCCAGATATAGGAATTTATTATAGTGGGGCCCAAATAAAAAGTAATGTAGAATTATGCTTTTTAGAGCGCCATTTTTAACCCAAAAGCTGCCAAAGCCAAAAGCCTTACCAAAAGCCTAATATTTAACCTAATTTATAGATTTTAAGTGGGGGCTTGGCCCTATGCCCCCCCCCCTCTTTATCCGCCACTGTTTTTAATTTCTCGCACATTTATTCTCTCACCAAAATTTGGATTTTCACATAAAGACACCTGCTCCATCTTTCCAGAGATCTTTCTAAAATATTTTTAGCCTTAAGCTACATTCTAAATCAATTCGCTGGCCGAGTCGTACTTTGGCACGCAAGCTTATCTTATGTACTTCAGTGTACTCATTCACAACAAAATTCGACGCCAGAGTGCAAGTTGAAGTTGGATTGAAAGCTTGCAAGCTGCAAACTTCCACTTCAGCACGGAATTTTCGTTTGACAATTATGACAAATTTGACATTTAAATTTTAATAATTATTTTGTTTGTGTCGTTGTTACAAGCCATTTTCCTGTGAAAAGTAAATAATTATTAAAAGAAAAATGAGTGAAGGACGCTATTCTTATTTTATTAGGACTTGTGGCTTTGCTGTTAAAAAAAACGGCAATTATTTTTGCAGCTCAATAATTAGCTTGACCGAAAACCAAGGGGTTTACCAAAACCCAAAAAATGGGGTGTCCGACCCATATTAATGGCGAGAAAAAGTTTTGGGTGCTTGAGACACATTTTAGAAAAAAATCATCAATAAATGACGTTTTGTTTCCATTTTCTAAACATAAAACTTGGAAAACTTAATTAACAACTGTCCCGGATTTTGACTCTTCCAAAATCAAAACCAACAACTAACCTAAAAAATGTCAGGAGAACGTTTAAACACGCATGCGCAAAATTCGAATTGAAATTTGTTGTGAATGGTTAATTTCGTGCCGACTTTAACGTCGAAGTGCCACTCGGCCAGCGAATTGATTTCGAATGTAGCTTTACAGTGTTGCCGCATCGTTCAAAAAGTGGTAGCATCTTTCTTATTTTAAATGTGGAACACCTAGTATATAATTACATTTTTGGGAACTACTTTCATATCTTATAATTTTGCTACTATACTAACTTATACCTATCTCTAATAGTTTTTAAGATAATAAATAAAATATGTGTAAAATTGACAAAAACATGATCGTGAATTGGTAAAATCATGAATTGAACATTTTTAAAGTTGAAATTTGGGTTATAAGTTAACGAAAGTCGATATATTCGATCTGTCTAAATAAACCAATTGTATATTACATAGAGAGAGCAAAAATATTATTTATTTCCGTTTGTTCTAAAACTACTCAAATCTTTGATATTTTAAATTCAACCCTATGAATATTATTCAAAAAATCGAAAAACTAATAAAATTGCTTTCCAACCAGGGGCGGATACAGAAATTTATTTTAGGGGGGGCCCAAATAAAAAATAATGCAAAATATGCCTTTTAGGGCGCCACTTTTAACCCAAAAGCCTAATATTTAACCCAATTTACAGATTTTAGGGGGGGGGGCGGGCCCCATGGGCCCCTCCTCTGTATCCGCCACTGTTTTCAACGATAAATCATATTCCTATACCGGTAAATCTTCCGGTTTCTTAATAGTCTACGAGCTAGCAACGTTTTCGAGAAAGTATTGTCAAGGTGTATTACTGGTTGCATAACTGCGTACTGCTGGATAGTCGCGGCTTGCATTGAGGAACCTGGCGCATTCGCCAGAAAGTAAAGAAAATTATAGAATTCTTTAGAAAAATCTAGAAACAACCGCCAGGGGGTATATAAGGCCCGCGCTTTGACAGTTGGAAGTTTTGAAGTTTAAAAGTTTAAAGTTTGAAGTCTAAAGTCTGAAGATAGTCTGAAGTTTGAAAATACCGCGAAATACCGTTAGAGTAATAGTAGTTGCATAAGTTGTGTTGTAAATAGTATAAGTTGTGTGTACAGAGTGAAACAAATAAATTCGTTAAGTATTTTATCGTGAGTTTAAATAGTGGACCCACGGAATCCGTAACAATTGGTGTCGGAAGTGCGATTCAAGAGGATTTTAAGAAGAAATTAAGTGGATTGGAAGATTTTTAGTACCGAATCAGAGTATTTTTATGGTTGGTACAAGGGAGCAATCGAAGAAAATGGAAGAAGTAAGCAAATTATTGGGCGATTTTATGGAGAATATGAGAAGCAGAAGAAAGCAGAAGAAAAAGAAGTAGAAAAATTACGCCGCCAAGAAGAACAGGACCGGCTTGACAAAATTTTTGAAGATTTGAAAATTCAACGACAACAAGAAAAACAAGAAGAACAAGAAAGACTACGTAAAGATAAGGAAGAGGAAAAATTACAACGACAACAAGAAAAACAAGAACAGGACCGGCAAGACAAAATTTTCGAAGATTTGAAAATTCAACGACAACAAGACAAACAAGAAGAACAGGACCGGCTTGAGAAAATTCTCGAAGATTTCAAAGTTCAACGAGAGCACGACAAACAAGAAGAACAGGACCGGCTTCAGAAAATTCTTGAAAATCAAGAAATTAGACAAGAACGGTTGGAGAAAATTGTTGAAGATTTAGAAGTGCGTCGCCAGAAAGAAAAATTAGAAGATCAAAACCGATTTAAGAAGAACTTTGAAGAACTGAAAAAAAGGCAAGACATCCACCTTCAAGAAGCCGTAGAAGATCTTGAGGAACGCCTTCAGCAGAAAATGGAAAAATTAGAGATGGACCTACAGAAGACCAAGGTACAAGTAAAGACACCTGGCGTTCATGGAACTGCGAACCTCAAGGCCCCGACCTACGATGGACAAACCACCTGGACGATGTACCACCGCCAGTTTGAAGCAGCCGCCGCTGCCAACGGATGGACTGACCAGGAGAAAGCAGCGGCACTTGTCATCGCGCTGCGTGGCCCTGCCCTGGAACTGTTGCAAACTATTCCTGCAGCCCAACAGCAGGAATACCAAACTTTGGTCGCTGCACTGGACAGAAGATATGGCGACCAACATCGACGCCAACTTTACCAGGCACAGATCAAGACACGCCTGCAGAGGTCCGGAGAGAGTCTGCAGGAATTTGAAGCAGACTTACGTCGGCTGGTACACCTAGCGTATCCTGAAGCACCGGAAGGATTTAGGGAGGAACTCGCTGCTCAGCGCTTTATCAGCGGGCGCCATCGTCAGGGCGCTGGAAATAGAAGCTGCATTTAGCGCCATTCCTAAACCGAAGATAGGCTCGGTAACGGTTGAGGAACAGCCAAAGAGTTCTCACATACGTTTGGAGGAGATGTTTAATAAACTATGTGAATTACTAGTGAACAAGAGAGTCAACAACACCCAGACAGAGAACCAAAGAAGATTCCAGGATATGAGGTGCTATGGATGCGGCAGGAATGGCCACATCAAACGAGATTGTCGCATCCAAATGCGATTCCATTCACCATCCAGAGAATATCGGCACATCGGAAGATCCCAGGACATAAGTTGCTATAGATGTGGCAGGAATGGCCACATCAAATGCGATTCCGTTTACCATCGAGAGAACATAGGCACCAGAAAATCAACACTAATGAGCGAGTATTGGCTGAAGAAAACAGAGCCCCTAGGATGTTTTCCGTTAGGAGTCTAGGAAAAACCGCTGACAGTTTGGTGATCAACGGGAAGGTCAATGGTAGAAGAATTCGAATGACTGTGGACACAGGCGCTATGGTATCGTTGGTGCGGACTAACTCAGGGCAAGGATTGAAGATGATGCCTCTTAGAAGAAGAGTATATTTACGTACAGTTACGGGGGAAATGGCCGTTGTACGGGGAGAGGCTTTCATGGAATTGGAGTTAGGGAATTTGAAGTTTCGGCATAGCGTTTTAGTGGCAGACATTGAAGATGATTTTATCATGGGTATGGATGTGATCAGTCAACATGGTTTTTCGTTTGATCACCATAGAAACATCCTGAAAATCGGAAATGAGGAATTTTCTGTATCTAAAGAGAAGAGACCAGGAAATATGGAAGAAAGATCATCGAAAATTGTGATGATACCTGGTGATACCAAGAAGACTGTGTTCGGGAAACTAGAGAAAACCGCTGGGTGCCGTGTAGGACGGGTACAAATTATCGACAACGACCTAGATCGACGACGAGCTACCTTGGACAAGAAAATGAAACATCGCGAAAGCACTATCAGAATAAGGAATTTTAAGCTTAGAACTGACGAACCATGGACGACGATACAATTGAGGAAAGATCAAATGGAAGATCCAGACATCGGAGCAATACTACGGCTCAAGGAAGGTAACGGCGAGAGACCACCGTGGCAGGATATTGCCGACAGAGGGCTGGTTTTCAAAGCTCTCTGGGCTCAGTGGAATTCACTGATGATTGAGAATGGATTGTTAAAGCGCACGTGGGAAAGTGCGGATGGCAGGACAGTAACAACTCAGTTACTGGTACCAAGGAAGAAAGTTACCCAGGTATTGAAAGAAATTCACGGTGGTAGAACTGGAGCCCACAGCCCACCTTGGGGTAAACAAGACCTTGAGCAAGCTGAGAGATCGCTTTTACTGGGTGGATTATTGCGAAGATGTCAAGAAATGGTGTCGACAATGTAAAATTTGTGCAGCCAGCCAAGGACCAAGCACTCGATCTAGAGGAAAAATGGAACAAGATAACGTTGGACTGTCGTTCGAAAGAATCGTTAGGAAGGAAAGATTATTGGGAATTCATAAGGCCGTGAGAAGTAAGATTACGCTAGCCAGTGACCGGATGAAAGCTCGTTACGACCTCAGAGCTAATTCTACGGGATTTCAACAGGACGATAGGGTATGGTTGTATAACCCACAGCGCAAGAAAGGAAGGTCCCCAAAGTTAACTCCAGCATGGGAAGGTCCTTATACAGTCATCAAGAGGATAAATGATGTTGTGTACCGGATTCAACGCAGCCCTAGAAGTAAGATGAAAGTAGTTCATCTGGATCGATTGAAGAGATACCAGACAGGAAACCTTGATCGGGACGATCAAATTTGACAGGGGGCAATGTCAAGGTGTATTACTGGTTGCATAACTGCGTACTGCTGGATAGTCGCGGCTTGCATTGAGGAACCTGGCGCATTCGCCAGAAAGTAAAGAAAATTATAGAATTCTTTAGAAAAATCTAGAAACAACCGCCAGGGGGTATATAAGGCCCACAACTTTGACAGTTGGAAGTTTTGAAGTTTAAAAGTTTAAAGTTTGAAGTCTAAAGTCTGAAGATAGTCTGAAGTTTGAAAATACCGCGAAATACCGTTAGAGTAATAGTAGTTGCATAAGTTGTGTTGTAAATAGTATAAGTTGTGTGTACAGAGTGAAACAAATAAATTCGTTAAGTATTTTATCGTGAGTTTAAATAGTGGACCCACGGAATCCGTAACAGTATTTTAAGACGTCTGGCTCTTTGATATATCTTTTACTATGCTCTCTGGAACAGCATGCGGCCCATCTGGCTGCCGATACCCGTTGCGTTCACTACTGCGCATCGGTAGAATTCTATATGTATATATATCGTATCCTATATTTTTTGTTAATTTAGTCGTATAAATTCTAGTATTGAATATAAATCGAACATGTCTCCATAGCGTAGTGCGTAGAGTTTCCGACCACGAACTGATGATTCAGAGTTCGAATCCGGGTCAGGTCACGTTTACCGGCAGCCGCATGCTGTTTTATGCTGTTCTAGAGTGCATAGTAAAAGATATATCAAAGAACCAGACGTCTTAAAATATTTGTTTTTCCGACGTTGCTAGCTCTCGTACTACTAATTGATACTTCAAAGTTTCAATATTTGTCATGGCAACGATTTTTTCAACGAAACAATTATAATAGAATCATTATCTTTTAAATGGTTTTACTGAAGAAACCAGAAGGTTTGGGTATAGGAACATGATATCGTTGAAAAGCAATTTTATTTGGGTTTTAATTTTTTAAATAACATTCATAGGGTTGAATTAAAAATAAAAAAGATTTATGTAATTTTGTAACCAACGGAAATATTTTTTTTCTGGCCTCCCTGTTTGATATCCGATAATTTGATTTAGACAGAATGGATATGCCGACATTCCTTAACCTATAAACCAAATTTCAGCTTCCTATATGCCGAATTTATGATTTCTTCTTCTTTTTCTTTCTCAGCCTGGTTCCATCCAGTGTTGGATATAGGCCTCTTCTAGGTTTTTCCATGCTTCGCGATCTCTAGCCACTTCCCGCCACTGCCCTGACGTCATCGACCCATCTCTTTTTTGGTCAGCCCACACTTGTTATTCCCCTAGGTCTCTAACAACATCTATTAATTTTATTTTTTGACGTATATGGGAGTTCCGTATTTTATCCTTAATGGTGACTCCCAACATAATTCTTTCCATGGCTTTTTGTGCTACTCGTAGTTCTGCTGTTCTGGGATTACCCTAAAAATAATAATAAATGTTAATAAAATAATTGCCATGTCTCTAAGCCATACGTAAGCACAGGTAGAATGCAGCTGTCGTAAGCCTTTTCTTTAAGTTGATGGGTACCTTTTTATCCTTGAAAATATCGCTCATATTTCCAAATGCTACCCATGCCAAATGGATCCTGCGTTTGGTCTCCGTATTTTGGTTCTCCTTACCCAGCTTGAAATAATAATTGCCATGTCTCTAAGCCATACGTAAGCACAGGTAGAATGCAGCTGTCGTAAGCCTTTATTTTTTAAGTTGATGGGTACCTTTTTATCCTTGAAAATATCGCTCATATTTCCAAATGCTACCCATGCCAAATGGATCCTGCGTTTGGTCTTGCTTGATTAATGACCTAAATATAATATTCTATATATATATATATATATATATATATATATATATATATATATATATATATATATATATATATATATATATATATATATATAATATATATATATATATATATATATATATATATATATATATATATATATATATATATATATATATATATATATATATATATATATATATATATATATATATATATATATATATATATATTGCAATCCCTGCAAATGCTGGATCCCGCAATTCCTCTGTGATTCCATGGGATTTACCGTGCGTGGGATCTGCGGGATCGACACTAGGGATTCCCCTTACGGCAGCCATTAAAAATAAGTGAAACAAACAGGTTAGTTATTAGATTTCTTTCCAGCGTAACGTGAAAGTGAAGAAAAGCGTTTAACTAGTACTTGTGGACAATTTCGTTAAATAAACTGCCGAACATAATTATCGGGACAAGCAAAATTTTAGGGTAAATTTAAGTTGAATATCTCTTGAACTAAAGAGATTTTGGGATGCGGTTTGGACCAGGTTTTAGATGCATTTATTGTGATTAAGATACTATGTGATTTTCGAAAATATATTTAGCGAATTCTCGTATACAGGGTGTTTTATAAGAGTATGAAAATTTGGTTAAGAATCTTTTTACCAAATTTACAGTTTTAAAAATCTAAATTTTTACCAAGTACGACTAATCTGTATTAAAATTAGAAAAAACAATTTGATCGGTTTTTTGTTTTATGGAAAATACGGCGTTTTTCGAAAAATATGCATTTTTAGTCATACGATGGTTCTAAATGGTACTAACTTTGAACAGCTGGTTCCAAAAAAAATGAATACGACTCATTTTTTCGAATATTTGAGCAGTGTGACATTGAATAAAACAACTTTGCTTTTGATAAAGTAGCAAATAAACTTTTCAGAATGTCAGCATGACATGAGTTGAGAAATGGAGGATTGGTATCATAGAATATACTGCCCGAAATAATAAAAATATGTTTTAAATCGTATTCAATTTTATTGGAACCAGCTGTACATTCTGCATATGCCAAAAAATTATTGATATAGAGTGTATCTAAAAGCAGATAACTAACACAAATTGAAAAAAAAATTAATTTTTAATTTTATTAATTAAAAAAAATTAAGTATAAAATAAGTAGATAAATTATAATAAAATTTAAGTTTATTTAATATTAAATATATGTTTTGAACACCCTGTATACATCGGACCAAATTTCTGTTCAGCTAGTTTAAGATACACGCTATATCAGTATATTGTGGGCCTATGCAAAATGTACCACGCCTTTTGTACCATTTAGGACCAAATGTATGACTATAAATGCATATTTTTCGAAAAAAAACTCGTATTTTCCTTAAAACAAAAAATAAAAAAAAAACTTTTATTAGTTATTTTACATAGTAAAAATTTCGATTTTTCAAAAATTGTAAATTTTCGGTAAAAAAAATTCTTGACCAAATTTGTACACTATTATAAAACGCTCTGTATACGAGAATTCGCTAAATATATTTTCGAAAACCACATAGCATCTTAATCACAATCGATGCGTCTAAAACCTGGTCCAAACCTCATCCCAAAATCGGAGAGAGAAAAGAAGAGCATTTATTGTTTACAATCCCGCAATTTTGCGGATCCGCGGGATTGATTGCTTTAATCCCGCAGGTTTGCGGGATTGAGATTTTGGTGCGGGATTGCATTTCCTAGTTAGTATATTATCCGGCGACGACAGTTTTTAGAAGAGCCAATTAACTTCTTTTAGTAAAAAAAGCAACTTTCTAGAGCAAGTCGTTACTTCAGTAGAGACGACACAGATAAACATTAGCATTTTATATATGTAGATAACGCCTTATTAGAGATTGTTTAAATTTATTTTCAGACAACATGGACAAAAAAGTAATCGTAGTACGACAGGAACCAATTGTCATCAAAAATATACAAAATTGGGATTATAATTTCACAGTTAATGAATCTTTTCCAGAAAAACATGTGGTAAGAAATAATATACAAGGGTTTTCTTTTATATTTTCCATATAGAGGTAGAAAAAAACAGTAGATAACTTTTGCCTTGTATAGATTAGTTTTTTAAAAGAATTATATTATTTTGTTAAAATTATTATTTTTTAGAAAAGTCAAATAATTTAAAGTATACGTTAAGAGTTTATTTTGATTTACTACTGGACTTGAGTTGGTTTTTAAAAAATAAAATTTGGATACCGATTATAATATCATAGCTTATAATATGGCGTTAAATTTAATTCCGATATTACAAAGTTCTCTGTTATATTCTACTACTCTGTTCTTGTTTAAGAGTATGACAGTAGACGAATTTAAGCCAGCTACCAAAGTAATAAATCGGGACCGTAGTTCAAGCTGTCAACGAACTCTGTTGTCAGGATCTTCAAGTAGTAATGGGTAAGTCTATATTGTTAAAATGTATTGACAATAATTTATAGTCTATTACGTGGTGTTATATCTTTGTATATTGCAAAAAATTATATTTTTGCATTTATCTAAATTCTTCATTCTTCTTCATTCTTAGGCAGTTAAACCAATCCTGTTGTTTACTGTAAAATCAGCAAGCAAATTGACATAGGAATAATTATCTCCTTTAAGAGTCTATTACGCTGTTCTGTTCGGGTTGCTCTCAGAGGTAGGGTAAAGTGGGTGTGTGTCCGAAGGAAATATATATTATATTTCAGAAATCTCCCTAATGCTTAGCCCGATCCTGTCGTGTTAAGCCACACCCAAAATTCCAAACACACGTGCTTGGATTAAGGTTTGATTAAGGTTTGCAGAGCTGCAGCATTTGTCATAAAATAGCGAGCAATTTATTATAAAACTATATAAATTATATATCACTGTAATCACAAAACTTCAATCTGTTTCCATATTGTAACGGAATTTAAATTATGTCTTTATTTTCGAGAAAATTTAGTCCAAACATATAGGGAATATTTTGTTGATGTTTGGCTATAAAAGTCTTAAAAATAAAGAAGTTGTCTAAAAATGTGCTACAATACATATATTATGGATATAGTATAATAAGTTTAACTTCCTTCTTCATTTGTGTAAAAATACCTAGCCAGTTTTACATAAAACGTTAAATGCCGAACGCTTATTTTGCTACTTTTTCGGACTAGTGAAATGGACTCTTAAGTAGCCAATCTTGGGTGAATTTGCTTACATTAACTAACCGTTGTTTTTCCGCCTTTTCCTTATTGCACAAGCGAACAAAATGCAAAACAGAACTGTATTTCGGGAGGCTATTTCTACTTGGAAAAAATGTGCCGAAGTGAGTGCGTCACTCAGTTCTTTATATATAAAACTGTACTAATTAAAATTGCGTGTGTGTGCAGACTCAATACAGGTTAAACTGCGCAAGCTGGCCTGCACTCTATACATTTATACAAGGAGGGTCTTAAATAAGTGTCTAAAATAATGATAAAAATAATCTGTCTGTTTTACTGCCTACCCTTACACGATTGTAATGGGTAGAATTAATATTTTCACAAATTGGTATGTGCACTAAAAAAATTTGTTTCTGCATGACTCAAATTATACTCAATACAGTTGTAAAAACGACATATTGATAAATAGTATTCCTCCTATGGTGATGTTGTTATATATGATACATATATGTAAAAAAGTGTAATGAATACAACAAATGTAACAATCTGGAAATTTGTTACATTTACCCATATCTGATGAGCACCCACGAGGTTTCATAAAAGTCGGCGCCCCTGATCTTACAGATATACAGGGTGAGTCTTAAATAAGTGCAAATATTTTCAGGGCTGGTAGATCTCGATAAAAGAAATATATTTTCTATTTACCATTTTCAGATAAGTCCAAAATAACAGAGTTATTTAAGTTTAAAAATTAAAAAAAAATGATTTTTTTTTAATTTTGAGAGCCACCGGATTTTTTCTGTATTTGCATCCCTTTTATTGCCGTAACCATAGAGTAAAGCCGTAACTATGGTAATATCTGAGATTAAGGAATTAGACCGTGGGAAAATTTGCGGTGAACAGGCAGTTCTAAAAAGTTTTCGAAAAATATACAGGGAAATTTAAAAGAAAATGCACGATTTTTAACATCTTTTTTAGCGAAAAAAAATTTCATAGACGTGTTCCTGGGAAATATACCACCCCTGAAAATATTTGCACTTATTAAGACTCACCCTGTATAATTACAGATATTGTGTCCCCCTTTCTTGAGTTATAACGAGTTATAACTCATCATACAGTCTCAGGGCTTTGAAAAAAGCCAGTATCTGAGACGGTTATTTTGGATTTTGGACGCATTTGAAAAACAGTAAAGAGGAAGTATATTTCTTTTATCAAGATCTGTCAATCCTGAAAATATTTGCACTTATTTCTGACTCACCCTGTATATCTTGAATATATAAAAAAATAAATACTTAAGATAAATTGTTATTTAAATTGAAACATTCATATTGGACATTTTTTGTATACAGAAATCCAGCTACAGCAGTTATAAAAGGCTTTATAAGACCGCCATCAACTAATAATCCAAAAGATCAACATAAATCAACAAGAACATCTTATTCTAGCCAAACCCCAGACGCTTCGTTGAAGTCAAACCCGTCAAATCAACCGCTTAATTTAGTCGTCAAAGGTGGTAAAGAACAGTGTAATTTTGAGAAGGAACAAGTAGCTAGAACTCATGTTGCAAAACCGTTGCCGGTTTCTTTTCAACAATTGGTTGAACCTCAAAGAAATATTACACGAGTTCCATGTTTAGACGCATCGAAGAAAATGTGTTCAGGTAATTTTTTTTATATTAAATACACCAACAAACTTTTTATTTACATGGCAAATATCTTGTTCCTATGTCATTCAAGCATAACAAATTTTGGTGTGAGAAATAATTTTAATATAAGTACAGTTATTCAGTATTCAGTTGTACAATTTTGCATATTTTTCTATAGTTTACATGTCACCTTCTATGCATATTTCTCTACATATTCGAATAGAATATTCACACAGCGGCATCGCTATACAGGGTGCTACAAATCGAGGTACATTGGTATCTCGGTAACCGTAATAGATACGAATATGGTTAAATTGGGGCAAAGTTGCGCTTTGGGATGTTCATCAAGATGCCATCAAAAAAGTTTTAAAAATTTCAAGAATTGCTGGGTTTTTCGGAAAAAAGCGGATTTTTTGAAAATCAATTTTATTTTTTCCTGTCTTTACTTTTTAGAAAATCAAAAAACTAATTGCACATTCTATAGCCACTTTATTAGGGTTATCTGATAGCGCTTTTAGATTTTCAAATTAGCTGATAATTTGTGAGGCCAACTTATTTTTTTTTAAATACGGACCTGCATTTTTTGTTTCAGGTTTTGAAAGAACTCGGTCTTCTGAGTACAATGATATACCACACTTTTTCCGACATTTAAACACAATTTATTTAAACTAATTTAATTTAAATAATAACTACGATTAATATTATTATGCATATTATTAGATCGTATACACTGGGATTTCAAATTCGCAATAAAAAAAATTAAAAATCATATCTTAAAATTGCTGACCTGGATATCATTTATTTGAATCTTTCAATTGGCTCGATTTTCCTTATTCAATGTTAATTTGCGCTGATTAATATTGTTGCGATAAATATAATCAGATTAAATAATTAAAAAAACAGAGTCGGGCTTGAATTTATTTTAAATAACAATTAAATAGTTTTGTTGTTGTTAAGGTTCCCAAAACAGAAAGTATCAAGTGTGGCATATCATTGTACTCAGGAGACCGAGTTCTTTCAAAACCTAAAATAAAAAATGCAGGTCCGTATTTAAAAAAATTAAGTTGACCTTTTTATCTCACAAATTATTAGTTAATTGGAAAATCTAAAAATACTACCAGATAGCCCTAATAAAGTGGAATGTGCAATTAGTTTTTTGATATTCTAAAAAGTAACGACAGGAAAAAATAAAATTCATTTTCCAAAAAATCTGTTTTTTTCCGAAAAACTTAGCAATCCTTGAAATTTTTAAAACTTTTTCGATGTCATCTTGGTAAACATCCCAAGGCGCAACTTGGCTCCAATTTAACCATCTTCGTATCTATTACGGTTTCCGAGATACCAATGCTCGTGCCTCGAATTTGTAGCACTCTGTATAATTCACAGTATGGAATGAAACGAATTTAAAAGTCCGCTCTTTGCAGTATAAAATCACAAAATCAATGAACTCATACGAGGTTGTTGACTTTATTGACTATTGACTATTCCCCTAGGTCTGTTATGATTTAGATGGTTTGATTTTTTTAATTTCAAATTTTTAAGTTACCCACTGCACAGTGGTTTCCCTTAATTAACTGCGCGGTCATAACTGTTATATATCTAGATATAGCTTGACTTTTTTAATAGAAATTGATAACAAATGGTAAATATATGATATAAAAAACTTAATGTAATATATGTATTAAAAAAATTGGGCCCAGTTCGTGTGATTTGCATTTTAAGTTCTAACTATTCGGAAATGTATACAGATTATGTTTGCACATATACAGGGTGGTCCGAGCTGTATTCCGGAAACTTCGGCAGCATGTTCTGCATATAAAAATAAGTAAAAAAGTTTGTATAAATGTATGTCCTAAAATGCGTAATTTCGGAGATACAGGGTGTAGAAATTTCATTTTTATTTCGATTTTTTCCAAATAATTTCTGAAGTAACGTCAATATTTGGATGAAAATTAGTATCTGCGAGTTTTTTGATATGAGAAATTTGATTTTGATGTCAATATGATTCCTATTTGTTGGGGGCGCCACCTATACGTGTCTTAACTGTTTTGAAGAGTAATCACTTTTCGTCCGTACCTGTATAAAACTACTGAGTACAAAAATATACATATACATTTAAATAAGTTTTTGACGTAAAAAATGTCTCTTGGTAAAAATCGCTACGAGTAATAGTTCTCGAGATATTTGGAATCGAAATTATCAATTCCTGTGATCATTGACATAAATTATTAAACATGTTGACTAAATAGTTATATGACAGAAATCATAAATTTGAAATGTTTTTGTTCAAAAGTTCAACAGAAACTGTTTTATCATCACTTTTTCGCAGAAAAAATTATGATTAATTTAAAAAAATAAAAATTTCCCAAATTTATTATTTCAGTCAAATAACTATCTACTCAAAGTGTTTAATTTTTTGTCAATAATGACATGTATTGACTGTTTTCATTCGAAATATCTTGAGAACGGTTGCTCGTAGCGATTTTTACCAAGAGACATTTTTTACGTAAAAAGTCACGAAAATGTATTTTTTTTACTCAGTAGCTCTATACAAGTACGGACGAAAAGTTATTACTCTTCAAAGCAGTTAAAACACATGTACGTGGCGCCCCTTCAAATAGGAGTCATATTGACATCAAAATCAAATTTCTCATGTCAAAAAACTCTCAGACACCAATTTTCATCCAAATTTTTTAATCATCCAACGTTACTTCAGAAATTATTTGGAAAAAATCGAAATAAAATTGAAATTTCTACACCCTGTATCTCTCAAACTACGCATTTTAGGACATCCATTTATACGAACTTGTTTACTTATTTTTATCTGCAAAATATGCTGCCGAAGTTTCCGGAATACAGTTCGGACCACCCTGTATATGTACATGTTTTTTCATATTGAAGAGGTCATATTTATTTTAAACGTTGAAAAAATAAAAGAGACAGTTGTTTCATTTTATAAATACAATTTTATTGTCAATTGATATACAGTGTGTCCACGAAATAAGTTGACAAGAAGAGGAAAAAATAAGTTATTTTATTTTAAGGCAAAAAGTCAATCTTTAACCACCCGGTATAAGATCCGGCGGCAATTCGCGGCAGCCAATGCCAATTAATTTATATGCAATATACTTTAAGCAACAAGTATTTTCATGCCGTTTAAAGCTATGTTTAAAGCTTGATTTTCATGCATCCGGTGTCCGACGATACGTTGATACGATATTAATTTCATTGGTTGTATTTAAAGGCTTCGATTGGTTAACCGTTTCTAACCATTCGAAGTATTTAAATTCTACCAATAAAATTAATATCGTATCATCGTATCGTCGGACAACGGATGCATGAAAATCAAGCTTAAGAGGATTTGAAAGGGAAAGTAGTTAAAAGTCTTACAGAGTGACAAGCAAAAATGTAAAAATACTTTTTTTGTTACCTTCAAATAAATTGCCATAAACTAATATTACTTAGTTTTAATTAAGTGCAAAAAAGAAAAAGCAGTTCTTTTTACCTTCTTTTCGAACGTCCATTACAGAAAAGGCAACAGTTTTTATCAACTTTAATAAAATAAGTAATTAATTGGCGTTATCTGAAAACTGTTTATGTCAGCTTGATACCAGTAGCAAAAATGTGACATTTGTAAGAAAAAAAGCGCTACACTAGGCTTACTTGATTTTGTTATTTATTATGCATCGTTTACAGGGGAATATAAGAAAACTATTAGCAACAGTTTCATGCAAACATTTTGAAATTAATATTTCTAAGTACCGACCTATCTGGGAACCACTGTGCACTGCCCTCAAAAAGGGGAGTATGGGTAAACATGTGTAATTTTTACCATCTTTTTTTATTATATGATATTTTTTGTTGTGCTAAATTACAGTAGAAAGTTATTTGGAGCAAGATACCTTAGAAAAAGGAATAGAGGTTTTATCTTCCTTGGATGATTTTTCACTGAAAACATTGATTGTTAAAGTAATGGACGTCCTTAACACGATGTACGGAGATTATCTCAATGAACAATTAGAAAAATACCTTGGGCCAGACATATATCAAGAAATTGCAAAAGAGGGCATACTACCATTTTGTGAATTTTTAGCTCAGCGGCACCAACAAATATTTAATATGGCTAATCCCAACGTAATTGCTACCGACTCTGTTCCAAACGAGGCACCTCTGATACCTAAGGAAGGATTAGTCGTTGATGCTAAACAAAATAGTGAAAAGCCGCTCGATGTTGGTATGTCTCATAAGAAAATTATTGAAGAAGAAATTGAACAAGAAAAAAGTAAGTAATAGTAAGCTTAAATCTAGTCTACTTTTTAACTACCAGGCCTGGATTTTTATTTTCTTTTATAAAAGTTTATGGATCTCCCAAATGCTTATAAAGAGGCCAAATGCAATGATGTTCGTTTTTTACATATACAGGGTGGCGCCTCTCATACGCCGCAGAGGCTCCAAGGAGAACGACAGTTTGTATTAAAATGAAATTTTGTGACCATATGTAGGTTAGTTCAGAGCAAGGATACTATAGAGATAAGTATAGTTCGATTCCTATCTTCCTGTACTGTCAGTTTTTTTACGATATCAAGGGACCGAGTTGAAGTTCGCGCTAAAGATTTTAGACAGTGACAGTTATTTTTGCGTTTGAGGGAGGAGCGCACAGTGCGGCGGAAGATAAATCTAGCGGGACAAAATCATTTGGTTAGAAATAAGCAAAAAATGTGTACTGATAAGAATAAATAGTAGACATTCCAATTCTTATAAAAATGCATGAATTATTTTTTGGTCGTATATATTCTTTCTATTTCGATACATTTTTATCAACCAAATTTGATCGTTTTCTGCTCAGCAAGGCAGAGGTTATACGAAAACAAAATATTTAAAAGTGCTTATACATTTTATTCAAGCCAAATTATGTTGAAGATTGTCAAAGGTATGTCCTTTTCTACTGTAGGTATATTATTTGTTAAAATCCTTCGTGCCTTTATTCTGCAAATATCAAAATTTCACTTTTTTCAAATATTAATATATTGAAATATTGAATGATGTAGATCTTTTGAGTTACTAATAGTTACCAACACAGGTAGTCAGTCACATGGAGTTCAAGCTTAACAGGTGAATACCCAAAAGTTTCATTTCAATAGGACAGTATAAAAACGAAACAAATACTCGTTAAAGGGTTAATTGAAGAGCATTCAAAAGAAGAATTTGGTTTTGCAAGTACTATGAGCTTTAGGTCTAGTGGTAGTAAGAAGTAAGGATGCTGCTGTAATTGTTGAAGCCTTAACTCCATCGAAAGGCACTGAGTTTAAAAAATTAATAGCTGCCCTTACACGGAAAGCCATGGCAAATTACCATAGCGGAAATATATCCGCGGACTTTGCCTTTAACGCAAACCTATGGTATTTTGGGTTAAAGGCCCGGACCCAAGGCCCAGTCCGAAGGCCGGGCCTTTCCGTGTATGGGCAGCTAATGAATGACATCAATAGTCAGTTCGGCAATTTTCCTCAAGACAAAAACATCCAAATAATGTTCTAGTTAAAAATAAAGCATGACGATATGCTAAAGCCTTATTTTTTACTTTCTGATAATTTATAATAAAACTAAATGATTATTACTAGTTTTAATAAAAGTTTAAAAAATTGTCTTAGATACTTACTATACAGGGTGGTACAAATTCGAGGTACGAGCATTGGTATCTCGGAAACCGTAAGAGATACGAAGATGGTTAAATTGGGGCAAAGTTGCGCTTTAGGATGCACACCAAGATACCATCAAAAAAATTTTAAAAATTTTAAGGATTGCTGAGTTTTTTGGAAAAAACGGATTTTTTTGAAAATCAATTTTATTTTTTCCTGGCGTTACTTTTTAGAAAATCAAAAAACTAATTGCACATTCTCATGGCTACTTTATTAGGGCTATCTGATACTATTTTTAGATTTTCAAATTAGCTGATAATTTGTGAGATACAGAGGACAACCTAATTTTTTTAAATACGGACCTGCATTTTTTATTTGAGATTTTGAAAGAACTCGCTCTCCTGAGTATATATGCCACACTTAATATTTTTTTTGTTTCGGACATTTGAACACAATTTAATTAAACTAATTTCAAGTCCGGCTCTGTTTTTTTTAAATATTTAATTTATTCATCGTTACAATATTGGTAAGCTTTCAAACTTAGCAATGACGTGGAGTAAAACATTGAATACGGATAATCAAATGCAATTAAATAATATAAAATTATTGGGCATTACATTACTTCATACGTCATTTTTAAAGTGACAATACACTTCAACATTTACAATAAACAGTACAGAATATTGAATGCATTCGGAAGTATAAGAAGCGAAGATATGTTCAAAGAGCTATAAATAAGATTGAACGAAAAATACATTAATTTGTGCATTAGGGTGAAGGACGGTGGTAACCCTTTCGAACATGTAGAGCATTACTAGTTTTAAAAACTAGTTTGTAGAAGTTGGTTTATTTATAATAACTACGATTTATATTATGCATATTATTAGATCGTACACTGAGATTTCAAAATCACAATAAAAAAAGTGTTAAATAATATTTTTAAATTGCTGACCTGGGTATTATTTGTTTGAATCTTTCAATTGGCTCGATTCAATGTTAATTAGCGCTGATCCATATTGTTGCGATGAATATAATGAGATTAAATAATTTAAAAAATCAGACTAGGATTTGAAATTATTTTAAATAATAATAAAATAGTTTTGTTGTTGTTAAGGTACCTAAAACAAAAAAAAAATAAAGTGTGGCACATCATTGTACTCAGGAGATCGAGTTCTTTCAAAACTTCAAATAAAAAATGCAGGTCCGTATTTAAAAAAATTAAGTTTGCCTCTGTATCTCACAAATTATCAGCTAATTTAAAAATCTAAAAATACTATCAGATAGCCCTAATAAAGTAGCCACGAGAATGTGCAATTAGTTTTTTGATTTTCTAAAAAGTAACGCCAGGAAAAAATAAAATTGATTTTCAAAAAAATCCGTTTTTTCCAAAAAACTCAGCAATCCTTGAAATTTTTAAAACTTTTTTGATTGCATCTTGGTGAACATCCTAAAGCGCAACTTTGCCCCAATTTAACCTTCTTCGTATCTCCTACGGTTTCCGAGATACCAATGCTCGTACCTCGAATTTGTAGCACCCTGTATATGAATTTACAATTACCGAGTATTAAAATTAAAATGTCATATTTATTATTTTCAAAATAAAATAGATTTTTTTAAAATAAAATATACAGGGTGTCACAAGATTACAACGTAATTAAAAAATAACTGCTAAAGAGTTTTTTGTAAGTATTTCACCTGATATCATAATTTTATGTATTTGGCAATAGTTTACAGTACGGTTTTTGTGTGTCATGTACGAATAATATCATAGTTTTATTATCTTGTATTTATTTATTTATTAAATTATTAGTAAATTAAGTTGTTAAAATGTTAATAAATAAATAAATTTAACTATATAATATGGTTGCTATATGTATATTAGAGCATTTGCTACGTTCTTAGATTTTAAGTCCCAAACATCCGCTAGAATAACCATCCACCGCACGCTGGAGCGCTGGTGCCTGCATGACGTAAGCATCCACAGTGACTACGATAGCGGCGATTTGACGCGATTGAACAGTCCTTTAGAATATATACAGTCCTTGAGTTCAGAGCACTTTTTAAAAAAAACCTTTAAAGACACCCTGTAAGTTCTACAGGGTGTCTCCAAAAAAAGTTACATATCAAAGTTGTATTTTTTGTAATGGAACACACCCTATATATTTATTGATGATTCTGGGAGAAAAAATAAAAGTTTTATAAGAGAAGTATATTAAAGAGACTAAAATGTAAGGCTTTTTACAGGGTGAGACAAAATTAATATTGGACATTGGTCACCTTTAAATGCATGTTACTCTTTTATTTTAAATGGAACGCCCAGTATATTATTCCGATATTCAGTGGGAAATTCATGTCTCTTCAAAATACTATTAAGGTTGCCTACCCCTCAAATAAAGATTTTCCTAGATATTTTCATTTACATGATTTGATCTGAGTAGATCTTTATTATTTGATAAAATCTAGGTGGCTGTGATATGGTCTGACGTTACTTCAACATAGCTGTCTAATTAGTCCAACTTTAACAACTAGTTATCATTTTGTGTCAGTTAAAACAAAGAAATTTCTCAGAAATTTGCCGAAAATGCAAACTTATCCTACATCAGAGAGAATTGATATGATTCTATTATTTCGTGAATGCAGTGTGCATTCACCAATAATAGAATACTTAATGCTCGTGATTTTATCTAGTCTGGTTTTTTATGGGGATATGTTAAAGACGGTGTTTACAAAACATGACAACTATTTTTGTCGAAAACATGAGAGAAATTATTGTAGCTGCTTTTCGATGTAGAACTCCACATATGCCTTTTAAAATGAAAAAATCCTTTTGAAAAGACAATCAGTTTATGCAGTTAACAGGACAGTAAGCATTTTGAGCATTTGATTTCATCTAGCTAATTTTTGTCACATAATTCTAGGTTTATATCTAGTTTTAATTCTGTAATAATTAAAATATGTTTTAAACGTGTATCTTTTTACTACCGTTGAGTATTTTACTCTACAATCTTTAATATTTGTTAAATTAACAAAAGGTATATTACACAGCCACCTAGATTTTTTTGAAATAATAAAGATATACTGCAAAGTCATAAAAATTAAAATATCTAGGAAAATCTTTGTCTATAACCTTAATAAAATTTTGAAGATATTTCTATTTCCCCATTAAACACCGGAAAAATATACTGGGTGTTCCATTTAAAATAAAGGAGTAACTTGCTTTTAAAAGTGACGAATGTTCCATAGTAATTTTGTCTCTCCCTGTATAACTTTTCGGGTCAAATTTCAATTTGGTTCAACACACAATGGTTACTGTAATTAAATATCAGGGTATACAAGGTCAACTAAGATTTAGGCAGCTGTTATCGAAATTTAAAAGTTTCTCTTCATTTTCACAAAATGTGAAATACATATGTCAAAATCCTTAAATTTTGGGTATATGCTTCTTTAATAAAACTCACTTTTATTTTTTTCATAGAATCCGAAGAATGTTCCATTAGAAAAAACACAACTTTGATGTGTAACTTTTTTTGGGGACACTTGTATAATTCTATATATTTTTATAAAATGCTTTCAGTTAACCTACATATCCTGCCAAAATTTAATTTCGAGATAAACTACCGTTCTCCTTGGAGCTTCCGTGGAGTATCAGAGGCGCCACCCTGTATAGTGAATGTAAATTATTCTTTTCAATATAAAATTTCCTTTGGTGTTTATGTACTTCTAATTTCCGGTTATCAATTTTTAGATGATTTAGTTACTAAAAATACTATGAGCAAGATATATACTAGAAAATACAAATCGAAATCAGTAGAAAGAGTTAATAGTCCGTTTAATATCCGTACAGCGGAAGAAAGTAGTAATAATCAATCTGATATTAAACAAGTAGCGAATAAAATTGTTCATGCTACGAATAATTTATGTATTAAAAAAAATCAAATTCAAAAACATATCCAACCAGATTGTTCAGACATAAATGTAAATATTCCAGCTAAAGAGAAAATCTATACTAGTTTACCACATGAATTTAATAAAGCATATGCCGATGAAGAATTACGTAGCCCTCCTAAAGTATCTATTATTTCAGACATTAATATCAATGACAAAAATAAAGATATTTTAGATCCAAAAAAATATAATTTTTATGATCAAAACTTAGAGAAATTAAAAAAACCCGATAGTACAAATAATATGGCATTGCAGAAATATCATGATAATATAAATGATGTAATCGGACCTATCATTAATGTGACCGAAGGTAATCAGATAAAAGATTGGGCCAAAAATTTAAATACACAAAATAATGGCAATAGAACAGAGGAAGACAACAAAAATGTGACCAAAACAGTAGATAATATTATGAATAAACAAGACAGTATAACATACAACCAAATGCCAAATAGTAATAATGTAATAGAAGAGTTTACATTATTCCTAAAGGAATTTGATGAAAATTGTTTAAATTTAAATGGGCACGATCGGCTGCCTAAAGAAGTAAGAACTAGCAAAAATCTCGAGCAGACTGGACCAAAAACTTTACCAATTTTAGAAGAAATAAGTAGTAATATTAAACAAATTAATGTATCAAAAGTAGTATTATCCAATACTGAGCAAGTTTCCATAAACCAGTTGATATCTGATGGAAAACCCAATGTCTCAAGCACAAATTTTTGTACTATTGTTAACCGTAAAAATGTACAACATTTAGGTAATCCAAAACCCGAATTGAGACAACGGAAGAATAGGAAAAGATCTTTTTGCTTTAGCCAAGCATTACTGAAGAAACAGGTAAAATGTTATGATATCTTTTTAAGAAAATATTCTGTTTTGTATATGTTACAGTGAAAGTCGGAAATTCAGTGATTGTTAACATTCACTAGGAAATGCTAACAATTACGCATTGGACCAGTGAATGTGGTATTTTAAAGAGATTTGTCGACTTTTCCTAGTAATTTCTAACATTCACTAGTGAAAGTAACATTTACTAAAGGTCGCCAGTAAAAGTTATTCTATTATACAGGACGAGTCTCGAGAGGAAGAATGATAGTGGAAGTTAGAACAAATAAAACTTTTAAGAATATTGGATCATCTCAGTATTCAAGCTGATCCACATATCTTAAAATTACAATTTATTTCTTTAGTATATTTATTAAAATTTATAGAAAATAACGACATAACCTTCTAACTATTAAAAGCGATAGTAAACGTTTTAAAGCATACAGAAGAATTAAAAAAAACATTCATAAACGTAAGATTACTTATTGGTACAAGGTTTTTTAATAAAGTTCTTCATCGTGGACAAAATAAAGGTATGCCCGAATTTTCTTTAACCAGGAATTGTTCGTTTTTTTTCAAACCCGCTACTTCAAGCATATCAAAACGTTTAATAAGTTCATAGTCACTAGGTTCTTTAATATTTTTTTTATCTTGCACGCTTAATTTTTGCTATGACTTCATTGTATTGCAAAAATGAATAACAAGCACAGTTACATTTTTGCGAGTGCCTGGTTTACCTTAATTTTTCACAGAAAATTTCTTCCAAAGGGAAAATACCGTACAGAACTTTTTACAACGATAACAAAACAATTATACATAACCACAAAAAACAAAGCGAATTTACGCCAGATGTCTGTCAACGTTGCCAACGTTTAGCTGAATTTAATGTTATCCATATATTGCCTATTATTCAACTTATCCTTATTTATCCGTATATTTTACATGTGGCAACCGCGCTAACTGAATCTTTCAAACTCACTGCCATCATCCAGGGAATGTTAACATTCACTAGTAAAAGTTGGTTTTAAAAATAGCTGTTGAACTTTTACTGGCGTTGTCTTAGCAAATCAGTGAATGTGAGTTTTTACTAGTAATTGTTAACAATCACTGATTTCCAACTTTTACTGTAACATATACATAACGCTAAAGGCTTGGTGCATTTCAGTTAGAAATTCCGACCGCAGCGCTCGATACGGCAGAAGTCAGAAACTTTGGGCTCTTTTTCACGCAGTTCCGATGTTGATCGCGTTGAAATAATATTAAAATCGTGGCTTTGTCATGATATTTAAGTATTTTAGTTTTTAATAGTGCAGCTATTGAAACTATAAAACACTCAGGTACGAGGTTTGTGTGATGTAACGCTGTTTCGGGAAATAAAAATTAAGTGAAAAAGAACCCGAACTGGGCGTCGCCTTGTGTTGTGACAATTTCAAATGTTAATAAAACAGTCAAAATAATGTTAACACTTAAAGGAGGGCGTAATTACGTGGTTGATGAGTGCAATAACATTCAATAACTCAACTTTCCCGGATATTCAACTCTCTCCCGAAACAACATTTTATAGCTTCACAACTTCTCACACCGATTTGATCAAAAGCAAAAATATATTCAAGCAGCTCGACAAAGCAAGTGAGTGAACAAAGTGCAACTTACATAATCAAAAAATTAAATAGGCATATACTATGAGAGGATAAATTATAATTTGCAATATTACTGGTATACTCGTTTTAATCAACTAGTGCTTAAATTTTTTATGAACATCTTCTGAAATTATACTTATGTACCTTTAAAAAAATCGTTATGACCGAAATAGCCTCTATAGCCAATATATGTCTCCGTTAGCAATATCGGTGCGTAAAACTATGCTAGGCTACCGTAGTTCAACTCATCTTATTAGCTTGAATAGTAAACTATAATACAAGTTAGACCTTCTGGAGATATCAAAATATTTACTTTTTTATTTTTATTTTTAGAATTTTCACAAATAATTATACTTGTTAACACTTTTAGAATAATTATATAATAAATTTTTCGTATACTTGCTATTTAAGAGTCTGTTACGCTGTACTTTCGGGTCGCTCTCAGGGGTCGGGTAAAGCGGGTGTGTAGCCGAAAAAAATATATATTATATTTCAGAAATCTGCCTAATGGCTTAGCCCGATCCTGTCGTGTTAAGCCACAGCCAAAATTCCGAACACACGTGCTTTGACTAAGGCTTGATTAAAGTTTGCAGAGCTTCAGCATTTGCCATAAAATAGCGAGCAATTTGTTACAAAACCATATAAATTATATATCACTGTAATCACAAAACTTCAATCTATTTCCGTATTGTAACGGAATTTTAAATTATGTCTTTATTTTCGAGAAAATTTAGTCAAAACATAAGGAATATTTTGTTGATGTTTGTCCATCAAAATCTTAAAAATAAAAAAGTTGTCTAAAAATGTGCTACAATACGGATATAGTATAATCCTATATCTTTAATGACCTTCTTCATTTGTGTAAAAATAGCTGGCCAGTTTTACACAAAAAACGTTAAATGCCGAACGCTTATTTTGCTACTTTTTCGGACTAATGAAATAGACTCTTAAACTCGTGTATTTGTATATGTGGGTTGTTTACGATGTTCTCCGATGGTGGCATCACTGGTGGAGAATGCACCAAACCTATAATACAATTCAACTGCTGATTTACTCTTAACAATTTTTATAGAAAATATCCACTTAGTTTAGTTCTTTTATCTATATCTCCTAAATAAAATTTACCAATGTGAATTTAAATATAGGTATTTTTGTATCCAAATACAATTTTGTTGCAGATTTGGTCGACCCTAAAGAATATATCAAGTTGCTTCAATAACATCCAAAAAAATAATATAAAGTTGAGGAAATATATTCAACGAATACATTTAAATTTATATTTGGACACAATAGACAAATTCTCTATACAGGAATATATTATAAAACTCGAAAGACTGAATAATATTGCAAAACGCAAATCAGTATTTCAAAAAATGCTTATGACCAAAGTATGCTGCAATAACACTAACAAGTTTAGTTTAAGGACAAACCAAAGTATCTTTAATAAGCCTGCAAAAGATATAACAAACAAAGAATTTGGTAAGTACACAACATAGTACCGTTGATTGAAAGAATCAACGACCTTAGTTACCAAGTCAGAATTGAGTAAAAGTGTTTATCTAGGTACGTCAGTGAGTTAAGAAGCTCTTAACTCACGACAAACCACTCCTTGTTTAGATGACTACCAAAGAGAAAAAAATATTTTGTAAAACATTTATTTTGCATTAAATTGGAAAAATATGTTATGAGTACCTTTTCATTTCCATAGTTGTGTACTTTTTTTTTCGGTGCACCATTTTTCATACTTAGAGTATGTATGTTCATACCTTTGTTTCGATCTTGCTGGAAGCAATCCAGAAATTGCTCTGAATGCCTCTTCTTCATGTCAGAGGGAATACTTTCCAAATCGCTCATTTTTTAAACTAGAGACATCAATATTATTTACTGTCATATTCACATTGCCATGCATGGTGTTATTTGAACAAAGGTATTAAGGTAATTGATTTTTTTTTAAATTCATTGTGTGTTTTTATAGTTAGACGTAGATAAAATATTGTACAACACACGCGAGTTAACTCCATTAAGATACATGTGTGGTTACACAACTCGTGCTACGCACTCGTTTTGAATCTTTAGCACGCGTATCTTAATGATGCTGTTAACTCACTTGTATCGTAAATATCGATTATGCTATTGTACTGAGAATGTCGCCTAAAAAATCATGCCAATACAGATAATATACAGCATCAGATATTGTGCATCCCTACTGAAATTTCATGCCATTCTAAAAATAGCATTGAAACATAGAACAATGAGAGATCAATGAGGTAAAATGCAACTAGGTGTAAAATATATTGGCACAAACTTCTCAGTGGCTCTTAACCCTGAAAAAAATATTTTTAATAAAATTAACAAGATTCTTGAAATAAAATCAATAAATTTGTAGTTCTTCTTTGCTTTTTTAGATGGTCTTAAAAATCATTTAAACGGATCCGATTTAGAAATTGAATATAATAATAATAATGGTATGACATATCTTCGAAGACCACAGAACGAAAATGTATCCCAGGCTTTTAAACAACAAAACAAATATCTTCAGAACGTTGATCTATCAGGTAAATATCAATGTCTTATTATTTTAATTTGTTGAAAAAATAATATTATTTTAAATCCAGTTTTAAATTTAAATTCAAAAAAAGACCGTTAACAATCTTATAAAATCGTTTACTAATTGTTATTTTAAAAATAAACGTTTATTTTGTTTTTAGAACATTTTTATAAATCAAGAGAAACACAGACATTGACACTTTCTAGAGAAGGAAACAATTTAAGCAAAGATAACGTAGTTGATAAAGGGCTGAGTATGAATCAGAATATAAAAGTTTCAAGATGTATTCTAAAAAATAAAGAATTTGAGATGAATCAAATTGTAGAAGGTGTTTATTAGTTATTTTAATAATAAGTTATCACTAACGCATTTTTTTCTAGAATACAATTCCAAATCTCCAAAATACATATTAAGATCAATGATATCTACAGAGAATATAAATAGTGCTATAAAAGGTAAATTATTCAAATTATTCTTATATATCAAGTTAATATCTATTATAGCTTATATAATTACAGATAAGTTAGTAGATAACTTGGCGAGTAAGCTTGTGGATCACCGTCATTTTGAAGAATTTTATAGTAAGTATAGAAACTAAAAACTAATAAATATATACATATTGCGTGTTGCTTATGCCATAGTATGCGACAATTAACACAGATTTAACATTTTGGCAAGGTCGCTGTTGTTTTATATTAAAAAATTACGCGCGTATGAAATTATAGTCTTAATAATAAATACCGCGATTTTGTAATCGAGGTTCCGGCTTCCAAAATATCGCGGTCCTCGCTTATGCAGTATTTCTGGCATTAGTACCATGGTACCTACCCACTCCCAACCAGTGTTGTCAGGTTCTTACAATGCCATAAACTTAGGTACAACTGATATTGGAGATGGAGAATTACTCTCTATAAAACCGTCCCAGATACTGGCTTTTGTCAAAGCCCTGGGACTGTATAGTGAGTTATAACTCAAGGAAAGGGGGGACACGATAGATCCGTAAAGTCGCAGTGATTAACCCCCCTCCCACTCATTCTACATTCTACCAGCTCAAAATACATTTTGCTGAGATTTATTGACTTTTTCACCACCTTTTTTCACAAACTCCAAATTTTAAAAATAAAACTTTCGTAATGATATAAATTGTATTTTTAAATTTATTATAGAGAATAAGTTCTGGCAACACTGCTCCCAACCCTGCAGTTATCTCTGTGCCCGTATAAATTCATAAACAATTTTATATACTTGTAAACAATACAGATGGCTAGAAGAATTTATGACAGTGGCGATACGTTAGGTTTCTCTTTTGGAAACTAAACTATTAAATAAAGTAAAAAAAATATGACCTATTACCCCAAACTGACGTGTAGTTTTTATTATTTAAGCACGAATAGATTGACTTAAAATATGTACCGGGTGTCCCAATAAGAATAGCTCTCGGCTGTATCTCGGAAAGTATTAGTCATATAGCTAGCGGAAAAAAATATTTATGACTAAAGAGAGCATGAGAAATTGCTGGAAATTATTTTCAAGTTTGTAGAGCGGCCGCTAGAGGGCGCAACTGCTATTAAAAATAAGAAAAAGACGTTTTTACACAATTTTGCAGTTAACGGATACTATAAATAATAGATTCATAATCTTCAGTAAATTTTGCATATTTTTTGTTAGAACCATTTTCCCCTATCTGCCAAAATAAAGTGGTGGGGGAAGGTTAGATCTGTTTATATTTAAATGTTAATAACTCCGGACTGGTTATTCGGAATCCAATAAGTGTGGGCTCGTTTAAAAGAGCCTTTCTTACTCTATATTATACCATATAAACAATAAAAATAAGCTTTTGAGCGTAGACTTGTCGCTAGGGGGCGCTGTCTTACAATTTAACAAACATTACGCGTTTTTTCGAAAAAGTTAAATGCCATAGTATTGTAATTTTAGCTGATACTAAAGAGTAATAAAAGTTTAATAATTCAGCGAAAACCGCATCTTGATATCTTTTTTCAAACCAAAGTTATTAGCAAAATTATAATAAATACGAAAAAATAAGCCCTTAACTACCTTATATTTCTAATACGGTATCTCTAGCCCTCTTGATTATGACCTTTCTAATAAAAAAATAAGATAGAAAAGATTAGTTTATTCTAAAATCGACAATATACCATAATACGATAGTACCAGATATATTAATATCTAATAATTAAGATATCAATGACAGTGAATAAAAAACGACGCCTCAGTGAAGTCATGGTAGGCTTTGGAAAAAAGTTGCTTTTAAAGAGATAGTTTAAACTCAAAATATTATTATATCCACAATTTGATAAAATTATTATTATCTCTTGATTGCTTTTCTAAAAATGCCTTTCTTCAAAAGAGAAAAAACGCTGCTAAGACTATCAAAATGTTGATTTAATAACACTTTGACGTTTATACTATTACGCCAAAAGCATCTTTTTTCCAAAGCCTACCATTGCCACTGAGGCGTCGTTTTTTATTCACTGTCATTGATATCTTAATTATTAGATATTGTTACGTTTTTTTCGTCGGTTCCGTGTGGATAGAAAGTCACAATTTATTTAAACACTATTTATTTAACACTAATGAACAAAAATAATAACGATAAAAGACTTATAGAACTATTTACAAACGATTTATAACTAAGAATTTATTTTGAATTTTAGCGCGTCAACTGTATATTTATAACTGCCCTCTCTAGGCCACTGCCGCCGGCTTTTATACCGACAGGTAAAAGAAATCTAGAATAGTCCAAAGATCGTTAGGCGCATAGAGAAGGTTTTCGAATGTTCTCGTATGACGAGTCCATTCTAGTGGGTCTCGATTTTCTCGAACGAATGAATCATTGCGGTGTCTATGCGATGTTAAGGTCATCCGAGGGCGGGCCATATTGTGAGGTTAGGTCGAGTCCACACCGGCTCGCAACACTGCCCCCTTCTTAGGCACATGCTCGTCCCGAGATGTATACGGTGAATGAAGGTATTTGCAAAGCTGGCCCCTGGTACATTGCGAAGTCTGGTAGAAATAGCAGTCTACAGTTTTCTCTCCCGATCTCAGCTTTGGGTTGTAGCAGCAAACGAGGATCTCGATTCCCGTAAATCTGAACAAGACTTCAATCATGTTCCGGATTGTACGCCAACTCAAACCATCGAGTCCACACGCCAGCTTCGGAATGGCTAATCGTGCACAACAACATACACCATAGCGAGCCTTCTCACTTCTGTTGTATCGGGCCATGAAATCGTCAAAGGACATCTCCGAATCAGGGGGATCAAAGCTGCAGGTTCTCACGGTCCCAGCACGATCTTCTATTTCGCCTTGGTAGGGGCTCAAACGGTTGAAATGGACTACCCTCGGTTTTCCTTTTGGCAATTTTCTGATACGGTATACGACACGAGGATTGTAGCTTCGGAGATAACCCACGACGTCTCTGCGGGTTATATAGCCACACCAACTTCCCTGGTTGGTATCCTCCATGCTCAGCTTGAATGTCGTAGTGTTCCTTCATTCGGTCACTAGCACTTTGAATATTTAGGCGGACTCTCTGATGAATGTCGTCCATCCTTTGACGTAGTGTGTGGACATAATCTTCTCCGGCGACTTCTTCTCCCGGTCGGCAACCATATTTCAGATCACAGGGTAGGCGCACTTCCCGTCCCATAACGATGCTGGCTGGAGTTTGCCCTGTAGATTCTTGGACGGATGAACGGTAGGCCAACAGGAACAGGTGAAGAAATTTGTCCCAGTCTCTTTGGTGGTCAGAGACTACTTTGGCCAGATAACGGTTGATAGTTCTGTTCATGCGTTCAACCATCCCATCGGATTGTGGATGTAGAGCAGTCGTCCTGGTCTTGCGGATGTTCAGGACTTCACAGATGCCTTGGAACAGATTGGACTCAAAGTTTCTTCCCTGATCTGAATGAAGCTCCATGGGAACACCAAACCTGCAGATCCATTCTTTAACAAGGGCATCAGCAATCGTGGACGCTTCTTGATTTGGCAACGCGTAGGCCTCGACCCATTTGCTGAAGTAATCCATTACTACCACAATGTATTTGTTGCCATCGTTCGTCTCCGGGAAAGGACCAGCCACGTCGATCGCTATTCGTTCGAAGGGACTACCAACATTGTACTGGCGCATAGGGGCTTTACCACGCTTTTGTGGCCCATTAATAGCTGCGCAAATGTCACATTTCTTACACCAGGCCCTCACATCTTCTTTGCAGTTCACCCAGTAGAACCGTTCACGCAGCTTGCCAAGTGTCTTGGTAACACCAAGATGTCCTCCGCTGGTTCCATTGTGAACTTCCTCCAAGACTTCTGGGACCCTCTTCTTTGGAATGACGATCTGTCTTCTCTCTTCTTGTCCCTCCGGTCTCTCGATCACACGGCGAAGTAGTCCGTTATCTATTACCAAGGAATTCCACTGGGCCCAGTACACTTTACGTTCGGCGAATATCTGCAAACTTCTTCCCACGTTGGTCTTTGGCCTGCGTTTTTCCAGTTAATTACTAAACCTAATTCTGGGTCACTGGTTTGGTCATTTGCAAGATCTTCGGGTTGCCAACTATCATTAACCACAGTTGTTCTTAGGAGTTTCGCTTCTTTCTCTTCTGCTCGGGAACAATGCTTACAGTCCTTAGCGCAAGGTCTTCTGGAAAGTGCGTCGGCATTCCGATGGATTGCCCCAGTTCGATGTTCTGTGTCGAAGTCAAATTCTTGTAATCCTTCAATCCATCTAGCTACCTGCCCTTCAGGATTCTTAAACTGCAAAGCCATTTCAAAGCAGCATGGTCTGTTCTTAACAAGAACTTTCTTCCATAGAGATACTTGTAGAAGTGTTCCACTTCTTTAACTACTGCTAGTAATTCTCGTCTGGTTACAGAGTAGTTCCTTTCCGGTTTTGACAAGGTCTTACTAAAATAACCAATGACTTTTTCTTGACCATCCTGGATCTGAGACAGAACAGCGCCTAACGCAACATTGCTAGCGTCGGTATCCAATATTAAGTTTCCGTTGCCTAGAGGGTAGCTAAGTATGGGCGCACTAGTCAGTGCCTTCTTCAATTTTCGGAATGCCTCGTCAGAATCTGAGTCCCAAGAGAAACGCCTCTCGCCTTCGGTAAGTCTGGTCAATGGTTTTGCGATGGTGGCGAAACACTGTACATAACGGCGATAGTATGTGCATAGTCCCAAAAAGCTTCGTAGTTCATGTTTATCTTTAGGTATCGGCCACTCTTCCACTTCTTGGTCTTCTGTGGATCTACCGCAACTCCTTGGGAGGAGACTACATGGCCCAAGTAGTGTACCTTTTCTTGACACAGATGACATTTCTTGGGGCTAAGTTTCAAACCAGAACTCCCTAGTCGCTTGAAAACTTCTTCCAAATTCTTCAGATGATGGTCAAAGGATTTCCCCACCACTATGATGTCATCCAGGTACACTAAACAGGTAGTCCAGGATAGTCCCTTTAACACAGACTCCATTAGTCTCTCAAAGGTAGCTGGCGCGTTGCACAATCCAAAAGGCATGACGGTAAATTGCCACAGTCCGGAGCCCACCGAGAACGCTGT